ACTATATTACTATATTACTATATTACTATATTACTATATTACTATTATTACTACTACTACTACTATATTACTATATTACTATATTACTATATTACTATATTACTATTATTACTACTACTACTACTACTATATTACTATATTACTATTATTACTACTACTACTACTACTACTACTACTACTACTACTATACTACTACTACTACTACTACTATACTACTACTACTACTACTATACTACTACTACTACTACTACTACTACTACTACTACTACTACTACTACTATATTACTATATTACTATATTACTATATTACTATCATTACTACTACTACTACTACTACTATATTATTATATTACTATTATTACTACTACTACTACTACTACTACTACTACTATATTACTATATTACTATTATTACTACTACTACTACTACTACTACTACTACTATATTACACTACTACTACTACTATATTACTATATTACTATTATTACTACTACTACTACTACTATATTACTATATTACTATTATTACTACTACTACTACTACTACTACTACTACTATTAATTATAATAATAATGTTATACTTATTCCCATTATTGTCTTTTTGATATCATTATTATTATTATTATTATTATTATTATTATTATTATTATTATTATTATTATTATTATCATTATTAATATTATCCTAACAATTCATTTAATAACAACAAAAATATCTATTACTATCATTATTATCATTATCACTGATATTATTATTAATCTTATTATCAATATTACCACAATTATTCTTAAAATTACAATACAAAAGATATTATTCCTTCCATTATCATTATCATCCCTACTATTATCATCATTATCTGGTAACATAAATAAAGGAAACACTACTGATAACAATAACAACAATAACATAGCATAGTCTCGTCTTAATAAATCAAAGAACGACAGAAAAAAAAACGATATATCGACCCATTGAAGCGAAAAGACACGCCCATAATAATGACAATTAGGAAAAAAAATCTGAAATGCTTAATGCTAAATATATCACACTATGATGCAATGAGGTTGATTTGCAATAATGTATCAACTTCATGTTTTCCTGTTGCGAGAATACATATTTACATTTGAAACTACGTCATTTAACAAAGGTAGTAGTAGTAGTAGTAGTAATTATTGTAGTAACAGTAATAATAGTAGTAGTAGTAGTAGTAATAGTAGTAGTAATGGTAGTAGTAGTTAGTAGTAGTAGTAGTTAGTAGTAGTAGTTAGTAGTAGTAGTTAACAGTAGTAGTAGTAGTAGTAGTAGTAGTAGTAGTAGTAGTAGTAGTTAGTAGTAGTTAGTAGTAGTAGTTAGTAGTAGTTAGTAGTAGTAGTAGTAGTAGTAGTAGTAGTAGTAGCAGTAGTAGCAGTAGTAGCAGTAGTAGCAGTAGCAGTAGTAGTAGTAGTAGTAGTAGTAGTAGTAGTAGTAGTAGTAGTAGTAGTAGTAGTAGTAGTAGTAGCAGCAGTAGCAGCAGTAGTAGCAGAGGTAGTCATTGCAGTAATAGTAGTAGTAGCTATTGTAGTTATAGTTACAGAAAATAGTAATGGAAAGGAGTAATAGTATTAGTAGTAACAGTAGCTGTAGTAGTAGTGGTAGCAATAGTAATAGTAGTAGTAATAGTAGTAGTAGTAATATTTACAACAGTAATTGTAGAAGTAGTAGAAATAGTAGTAATAGTAGTAGCAGTAGTAGCAGTAGCAGTAGAAGGATGAGGAGGAAAAGACATAATACCAAAATATAATTTGCACTGACAAATACTATTAGTAGAATAGTAATGCAAATAGATCCAAGAACATTAGCATTAAAAGCATCAACCAGATTTTGACCTAAAATAAAAAGTAATATAAAAAGTAACAAAAGCAATTACGAATATTGCCTCTAAAAGTAGTTGCAGCACATTTTTTCGAAGTAATATTAGTAATTCTGTTGCAGTAGCGAAAGTAGCAGTACCATAAATACTGCTACTACTACTATATGTAGTAGTAGTAGTAGTAGTAGTAGTAGTAGAAATAGTAGTAGCAGTAGAAGAAGAAGAAGTAGTAAAGTAGTAGTAGTAGTAGTAGTAGTAGTAGTAGTAGTAGTAGTAGTAGTAGTAGTAGTAGTAGTAGTAGTAGCAATAGTAATAGCAATAGTAATAGCAATAGCAATAGCAATAGTAATAGTAATAGTAATAGTAGCAGTAGCAGTAGCAGTAGCAGTAGAAGTAGCAATAGCAGCTGCAGTAGTAGCAGTGTTAGCAGCAGCCGTAGTAATAGTACTAGCTGTAGTAAAAGTAGTCGTAATCTAATAATCGCTAAAAAACAGTCTATGATGAGTAAAGTTGGACCAAATTTAAGCAATAACAACCCCGCCACAAACAACAACAATGCTAATAAAAGCGGTTCGCAAATTGCACTGGCGGCATTCATATCAGCAACAGGTATATGATGAGGCAGCAACTTTGAAGTCCGATAATGCAACACTCAGCAATACCTTGGCAATAGATCAAAGAGTGCAAATAATGCTATGACAACACATTAGGCGAACTGCGATGACAGGGAATTGTCGTCAATATTGCAAGCGATACCTTTCATAACACGCTGCGCAAACAACACGCGGCGATATGTTGCAAATTCGGTGTTTGTACAACATATTAGCAACGCTCTAATCCTTGTCAAGTCATTAGTTACTCTTAATAATATAACATTCGTGTCAACAATGACTGGCTGTGCAGAACGGCCGAGGGAGCATTGCAAATTCAACATTTTGTGCAGTATGATCTGAACACATTAAAAAAATGGCGAAAGTTTCTGGAACTTTCCGGCAAGAAGAGAAGTCATGCACTGCCATCTTCTGCACAATAAAACATGCATGATATTCCCCACAACATGACAACATATGATGCATGCCTTTTTTTTAAATGCTAAAGCTCTCTCACTATTTTTTATAAAACAACTACACCGTTTCATGATAAAGAGAAACAAGATTCCTAAAATGTCAACCAAAGAAAAAAATCCCCCAAAATCCCTTAAACCACATCATAAAACAAAAAATGGCCAAAACCAATCAAGACCCTGAAGGCCCGTCATAGCACCCACGGCGACGCACACACAGCCTGCAGCAGACGCGAAAACGAACCGAAACTCGCTACTGCCACTTCCTCGCCTTCGGTTCTAAAAGCCCCCAGCCTATGACGTCACACATGTGGGAGCGTTCCCGGGGGGGCGCTTCAGGGGGGGGGGGTGAATGGGCGGGGGTGGTTGGGGGGGCGGGGGGGTCGTCTCCATCCGGGCTACTAGCGTGGGCGAGCGTACTCGTGTGCTCCGCCGTGCTCATGCTAGTACGTTTTACGTCGTCCGTGGTTCCAACGTACGCCTGTTATGTTCGTCTTACTGTGTCTTTTTTCGAGTTATTCGTTTACGTTATTTAATTATTTGTTCTTTTTATTTCGTTTCTTATTGTTTTTCATTACGTTGTGTCTTATGTAGTTACAGTGGCGAATCGTATAATATACTTTCATATTAATCTACATCAAATTTAACAAACAGTCCCCACGGAGTTCTTTGCTAATTCTGTCTTTTCGCTTCGTCACAAATGGCCCACTCCCTCCGCAGCGTTCGCCGTCTGCCAATCGGGACGAACGCCTTCCAGCAGGTTAAGTGCACCGAGCAGAGTGCACTGCCGCCGCCCTCCGTCTCCCTCGCACTCTACAGTTCCGTGAAACCTCGTTCGTCCGTCCGTCTCCTCCCCCTTCTGTGCTCCCGGGTCCTGGCGAAGTGTGGCGACGCCCCTGCAGCCCGCGAGAGAGCCCGAGGACGCCGGGGGAGTTCCCGAGGGGGGAGGGGCCTCCGTCGTGTACCTCATAACCCCTTCTGCACCTGACGGTCGCGCCCCTGCAGTAGGCCTCCCTTCACTCGTCGGTTGCCCTGTTCTCCTCCGCTCTCTCTCTCTCCCGCTTTTCGTATCTATCGCTGTATCTCCCGACGCCCTTCTTTCGATGCTCTCCCACCCGCGGCAGGTTCCTATGGGGTCCAAATATGCAAATGTGCGCTACCCGGAGCGGCGGCAGTAATCAGGGACGGTCCGTTGCATTAAATCCAATTCAATATCCTCATATTCATCATCATCATCATCATCTCCTCCTCCTCCTCCTCCTCCTCCTCCTCCTCCTCCTCCTCCTCCTCCTCCTCCTCCTCCTCCTCCTCCTCCTCCTCCTCCTCCTCCTCCTCCCCTGCCTGCCTGCCGGCCTGCCTCGTGCCTGCCTGCGTGGCGCTGCACTTGTCGGATCGATAAGCTCCCTGATGCTCGCAGCGAGGCAGCCCACTCGGCCGCCGCCGCCGCTCCCTCGGCCGTCAGCTGATCCGTTCTTCCTCGCGATCTCGTTCCTTTGGACGGAAATAAACACTTACCTGCAGGGACTCACCTGTGGAGGAGGGCCTCCTCCCCCCCCTCCTCTTCCTCCTCCTCCTCCTGACGGGCACTTACCAGGGGCGGGGGTGCGGGGTGGGGGGCGGGGAGGACGACGACGACGATGACAGGTGCTTCCGCAGGAGAGGGGAGCCTGCGGGTCCCGAGAGGCGCCCACACCACGGCAATATTGACATCTCTCCTCACTCGCTCGGGACGGAGGCACACACGCAAACACGCTCGGGATTCAAGCACAAGCTCTCACATACGCACGCACGCACGCACACACATTTCTACGTACACTCGCAGCCCAGCACGGGAGCGCAGGCAGGATTCAAGCACTCCTTAGCATGCAGGAAGTGAGAAGGAACCCTCAGCAAGCTAATATTGACCGTCATGCAAGACGTCCTCCGCGCGAAGGTCTCCTGGCCATGCAATTCAACCCGAAGGCGAAGGAGGAAGGAGGGAGGAGGCTTTCCACCCGGGTTGGGAGATGGAGATGAGCCTCTGGGGTTCCTTCTGCGCTTCCCCGCGAAGAAAACGGGCCTTCACCTGCGCCACGGCGCCTTGGGACTCACCTCTGCTTGCGGGACGAGTACTCCGAGGGCAAACGCTGCAATCTCCGGTAAATCCAAGCGCGTAATCCCGGGTCGGCCGAGGCCCCGCGACCTCCCTTCACGGCCTTCGCTCGCGCACCGCCATCTTGTCTGGCCCGCCGCCGAGGCACACACGCAGCACTGCACACATTTACACACTTTTGGCGCACTTAGCACTTGAATTTAGCCATGGGCTTTCACACACTGGCGGAGGGCAACACTAGACACACTTTTCACAAGCCTTCGGAGCAAATAAACCCACAAAGAGGGAGATAAACGCACTAAACCAGCAGCGCCCCGACAACACACCACACCGTCTCTCGGCCACGTACAGATTGACTGGAGGTTGGCGCGGCCACGCATGTCACGTGACTGTGGCCGAGTCGGGCTCCCCGGCAGCCAATGGGCGAGCGCCGTTCGCTCGAGGGCGTGGCGATTAGCGCTATCCCGCCTTATTATTGGTGGACGGCGGATGGGTGGAGCTTCGGTTCCCCCGACCGCGTGGTCATTGAGTGTCGACCCGAAGGCCTCAATCAATGGGAGAATCGATAGGCCATCACTGGTCATTGAGGCCCAGGGCAACCTAGGTCGATATTGGTCAGTACCGAGGGCAAGGCCCACCCTAAGGAGGTGCCCAGGGCATGGGGAGGGGCACCGCCCGCTCCCCGGGGGACAGGCGAGGAGCTACGGCCGGGGCACGAGTCGCCACTACCAAGCATGCCACAGCATTATTTATAGGGCAAAGCTCCACTGTGAAATTACCTATGTTGATTACGGAAAGCTAATTCTACGCCTATGCACTGTGCAAACACACGCGCGCTCAAGCGGTACTGCCGACTCTACCCGAACGCGCGCAAACTCTGTGTAGCGATGTTGAATGGCGATCAATATACATCCAATGGAATTCTCGAAACGGTTGCCCCGTTGCCCACCGACCTCCTCGCGCCCGGGGAGGTGAGGTCCTCGTGTGGTTTCCTTGCAAGAATTACACCTACACAGATACACCTGTGCACAGTCTCCTAGACACACGTGGAGATAGATTAGAATGTGCGCCAACTTGCTATGTGCGTCTTTTCTCCCTCCTTCCCTCCCTCCCTCTCTCTCTCTTTTCTCTCTCTCTCTCTCTCTCTCTCTCTCTCTCTCTCTCTCTCTCTCTCTCTCTCTCTCTCTCTCTCTCTCTCTCTCTCTCTCTCTCTCTCTCTTTCTCACGCATTCCAAGAAGCGAATTCAAGAACCCCGTTTCCCACGCCTATGGAATTCCCGCGCATTACAAACCCTTCGTTCAGATCCCCCTTTAACTTTTTATAAACAAACACCGAATTTCCCTTAAGATTTTACTTTGGCTCCGTCTGTTCCCAAGACTTCCTGAATGAGTTCTTATCCGATCTTTTTCTCTTTCTTGCTTTCGGGTAATCGAGAATCTACTTTAATTTCGTTTCTTCTTTCTTGCCTTCTCCTTTTCCTAATCCTGATCCCTTCATCTTCTCCTTCTTCTCATCATTCGTCTTTTTCTTTTTTTCTTCTCTTTATTCCCCTTCTTCTTCATTCGTCTTCTATTTCTTCTTCTCCTTCATTCGTCTTCTATTTCTTCTTCTTCTCCTTCATTCGTCTTCTATTTCTTCTTCTTCTCCTTCATTCGTCCTTTATTTCTTCTTCTTCTCCTTCATTCGTCTTCTATTTCTTCTTCTCCTTCATTCGTCTTCTATTTCTTCTTCTTCTCCTTCATTCGTCTTCTATTTCTTCTTCTTCTCCTTCATTCGTCTTCTATTTCCTCTTCTTCTTTTCGTCTTCTTCAACTTTACGTGCGTTTCTTTCTCTTTATTTCCTTACATACATATTTCTCTTACGTAGCCACGTTTCTCGCGCTTAACCTAAATCATTTCGAAAGGGAAGACGAAAAGCAACGATGGAGAGCGATAAATTGAGGAAGAGGAGAAAAAGGAATAAGAGAGAGAGAATGAGGAAGAACACAGATAATGAAATGATGATAATGCCAAGGGTAAGATAGAATAATTATTTAAAAAAATATATAATGGACGGAAGAGAGAAAAAATGACGAACTAGACGAAGAGTAAATAAGAAAAAGAAAAAAAAAGTAGGCAGAGATACAAATGAAGAGTGAGAAGGGAGAGATTTTAAGAAAGAATAAACAAATAATAATAAAAAAAAACACTAAGATAAGATACCCAGGATGTGGTTAGGAGGGAAAACACGTCACTCGCCTCCTCTGTGAGAGATGATGTCAACACACTGCTCTGCTTAACTCGTGACTTCATTTTACTTACGGGTTTATTCACATTTCTTCCTTCTCTTCCACCTCCGCACGTTTTTCTTTCCTTTAGTTGTTTCTTCCTTTTATAGATATCCTCCAAAATACCTTGTTTTATTCCCTCAGAGAAAAACATCAATGATATCTGTTTATCAAAAGATAAGCGTATATCATGTAAACTAGATAGATAGATGGAATAAATCAGGCATACATCCTTAGTACATGCGGAGTGTATTAAATATATATCAGATATGCACTAACATACATGAAATTGACACTTGGCATGGACGGAGCATGATTACGTATCAGATATACACGTTAGATCAAAGAAAAAGACCCCTTGCGTGGACTGAGTATGATAAGTATATATGAGATATACGGAGTAGATAGTTCGTGTAAACCCTAGACGTGGGCGGAGTATAATTGTGTTGTATAACCGGTTTTATGGTTGTTCTTTTATGTAAAATGATTTCTTCTTACACATTTGTTATGCAGCTCTAAGTTGTATAGTTTAGTTGTTCTCTCTTCGGTATAGACTCTGTCTGTTCTTCATTGCAGTGTCTTGTCTCCCTACTGTTTTTTTGACTTCGCTTTTGTAACCATCTCCGAGTGTTGTGGTATTCTCTTCTTCGTCTTCCTCTCTTCTTTTTCATCATCTTTTCTTTTTTCCTACTGCTTCTTCTTCTTCTTCCATTATAATCATTATCATCTACGTCGTCGTTTTCTTCTTCTCCCTTTTCTCCTTCATCTTCTTTATCTTCTTCCATTTTCATCTTTCTGCCTCCTTTTCATACTGTACAGCGGGGAGAAAGAGGAAGCACAAAGTAATGTTCGGGTGATGAAAGAGCTGTAAGGGGCCATGAGGACACGGGGCATTGTACAGTAAAGGTGAGACAAGAAGTTTATACTATGACAAGGGTGATATGTACAGCGGCCGGGAGGGAAGGGGAGAAGTAGGTAGGGAGTTGGGTGGGGGGACAGGGATTTGTACAGTGGTGGGGAGAGAAAAGGAGTCGTGCAGCGGTGGGGAGCCATGAGGACCTGTGCAGTTGTGGGGAGACAAGGAAACTGTACAGTGATGGGAAGAGAAAGGCAAATGTACAGCGGCGGGGAGACATGGGGCCCGTGCGGAGGTGGGTAGACAGGGAAGTGCTGCGGTGGGGAGGCAAAAAGTTGTACAGCGTTGGGGAGGCAAGGAAGTAATGCAGTAGTGGGGAGGCAAGGAAGGTGTAGAGTGGTAGGGAGAAAAAGGGAGTTGTACAACGACGGGGAGACAAAGAATACTATACAGCTGTGGGGGTACAGTGTGAAGGAATGGGGATGTACAGCAACTGGCGTGGCGATAAGGAAGTTGAACGGGGGACGAGGATGTTCAGTTGTGTACAGTAAGGTAAGACCAGAGAAAGAAAGACGTGGTGGTATGCGCGGAGAAAAAGGTACTATACTCTGGAGAGACAAGGTAAATGTGCATCGGATGGGGAGAAGAAGAGGGAAGGAAAAATAACTGGTGCTTGGGAGGAAGGAAGGTTGTGTCACAATAACGCGGCAATGTATAGCAATGTAAAGACAAATTGTACTATGGCTAAGTTGCTATGTGGAAGGAGAGACAAGAAGAACTGTACATAACAGGGGGGGGGGGTCTGCACAGCTGGAGAAACAAGGTAAAATGGAAAATAATAAAAAAGCTGTAAACCAAAGGTAGCGAGAGACAAGAGAACTGTCCAGTAATTAAGAGACAACAGAAATGTACAAAAATGAGGAATAAGGACACAGAAAATTATATATTAAAGGAATATAAGAGAAATGTACAGCAAAGCGGAGACGAGAAAGGCACAATCAGAGTTTATCAAGAGAAGAGGGAAACAAGCGATTTGTACAGCACAGGGAGACAAGAAAAGTGTACAGCATAATGAGACAAAAAAAAGGTACAGAAGAGGGAGATAAGAGAAATATACATCAGAAGGAGACACAACAAGTGTACGACACAGGGGGATCAAAAGAAGTGTACAGCAAGAGACAAGAAGAAATGTACAGAAGAGGGAGACAAAAGAAGTGTACATCAAAGGGAGACAAGGGAAGTGTACAGCAGAGGGAGACAAGAGAAGTGTACATCAAAGGGAGACAAGAGAAGTGTACAGCAGAGGGAGACAAGAGAAGTGTACATCAAAGGGAGACAAGAGAAGTGTACATCACAGGGAGACGAGAGAAGTGTACATCTCGTCTCCCTTTGCTGTACACTTCTCTCGTCTCCCTGTGATGTACATTTCTCTTGTCTCCCTTTGCTGTACACTTCTCTTCTCTTCCTGTGATGTACACTTCTCTTGTCTCCCTTTGATGTACACTTCTCTCGTCTCCTTCTGTGTACAACACAGGGACACAAGAGAGGTGTACATCAAAGGGAGACAAGAGAAGTGTACAGCATGTTGATATATACATTTGTCTGTGCATGTGTATATATATAAATAAATATATATCTATATCTATATCTATATATATATATATATATATATATATATATATATATATATATATATATATATATATTTGTTCATTTGTACACACACACACACACACACATAAATATGTACATATTATATATATATATATATATATATATATATATATATATATATATATATATATATATATATATATATATATATATATATATATAGATAGATAGATAGATAGATAGATAGATAGATAGATAGATAGATAGATATAGATAGATAGATAGATAGATAGATAGATAGATAGATAGATAGATAGATAGATAGATAGATAAATATATACACAAGCACATATGCATCTCTGTATATCTCAATATATATCTCAATATATATATATATATATATATATATATATATATATATATATATATATATATATATATATATATATATATATATATATATATATATATTGTGAGATATACATTTATCTATACATACACATACAACTATACAAGAAAGAAGAAGAAAGAGAAAGAGAAAGAAAAAATGCATTCACTAGCCTTCTGATAACTCGCCAGTAAAGTCTTCCTGCGTTGCA